CCCCCCCCCCCCCAATAGAAAGTGAAGCAATTAAACGGGTTCAAAAAATATTATAATTTGTGTAACAATATTCCAGTGTAGCAATAATATTTATTTTGAGTCAAATTTAAATAATTAATAGAACAGAAAAGCCTCTGTAATAAAGACAGATTCACACATAATAATATTAATAATAATAATAATACTCACTTGGTCCTAATATTACTTGGTATCGTGATAGAAAAAAGGTATTGTGAGAACTCTTCTATGTGTTAGTTTTTACCTGTACATTTTTTTTCTCTAAGGTCTCTTAATGCCTGTTGCTTTATGATGTACCAAATAGAAATATTATATTGGTTTGTTACAGTACTTCTAGTATATTCCTAGAATGGATAGTTTCTCTGTTCATATAATGACAGATAATGTGTATTTCTTTCCAGTTTTCTGTAAACTTGTTCAGGACTCTGCCGCCCTCTTCCAACCCCACGGGAGCAGAGTTTGACCCCGAAGAGGACGAACCCACTCTAGAGGCAGCTTGGCCTCACCTGCAGGTGTGTGTGCAGCTTCATATTATCAACACTCATTTTCTTGTTTTCTTTTGAAATGTCATTTATCCAACTCTTCAGTGAATGTTGCTGGATGTCCTTGGTGTTTTCCTTTTCATATGCCTGTTTATGTTATTATATTATGAAGATTTTGGCCTTAAACTGCTTTGCAAGCCATGAGGATACAAAACTATATTGCTCTGTTCTACAGCCTCCATTGGCAGAAGTTTACATTTTTTAATTTGGCCAAATCCAATGGCAGCATCACATTTGTCCTTTGTGGTGAATCTCAGGGAAAAATAAATCCAAATATTGAATATAAAAATATCATTCAATACTGAAATATGTATTTTGGAGATAAAAAGATCAAATTCAAATTCGACTTTTCTGTATTTGTTGTTACCTTTAGCACCATGCTAAAGTCATAGTCAAAAAGAGTGCTATTTGTGTAGGTCACAGAGTTGCTGCCTTTATAGAGCATTGCAGTCAGTTCTGAGGTTCCCTGCCAGTGAGGTTGCAGCGAAGCAGTTCACTAGGTTTTGGAACAACTTCTGTCTCAAATGATTAAAAAGCCTATTTGTTCAGGAACTGACAGCATTTATTGTTTTGGTGGCAAAGAGGACCAGACAGATACATTAATCATGTATTAGTGTTGAGCTTTATTACTATCTCTCCTCCTCAACCCCTCTTTCTCCTTTCCTCAGCTGGTGTATGAATTCTTTTTAAGATTCCTGGAGTCACCTGACTTTCAGCCCAACATTGCCAAAAAATACATCGACCAAAAGTTTGTAATGTCGGTGAGTGCACTTTCTTCTGACCTATAGCTGCAACAGTTTGTCCTCACCAGCACACCATCAGAGGAAGCTACACACTCCCTCTGCTGTGAGTACCAGTGAGGAAACTGAGGCCAGCTGCTGTTACAAGTTTACAAGCATGTTGCAGTGCAGAGATCAGCACTTGCCTGTGTAGACTACTAAGTCAAGTTTAAAGCAAGAGTATTATCACCATGCCAGCATCACTTTGTGCACTTTGAAAGGATTTTTTTGTTGGTGGTGGTGTTTTACATGAACTGATGGTGAGACTGATATCTAGAGAGCAGGATTTTGGGCCTAGAATTTTATTGGCCTAGAATCATTCCATGAGTGTTATAGTGTTGTCACGGTACCAAAATGTCAGTATTCGGTACCAATACCAGTGAAAATCCACGGTTCTCGGTACCAATTTCGATACCAAAGCAAAACACAAAAATATACTAATTAAAAAACTTTTTTTAAAATAAATAATTCAAACAAAAATAAAATGTACAAAAATCAATGCCATTCTTTATACTTATTTAAAATTGTGTTTCAAGTTTTCCCGCAAGTAATGCAATTATGAAAAAAGTAAACAAGTTTCACATAAAACTGAGTGTCCCACTTCAGGTCCTGAGAGATGGTGGTGCCCAGGAACCAACCCTGAGGGGTGCCAGTGCTGGTGGTGCGGTTGTTGTTTGTTGTTCACAAAGTGTAAAAAAAAAAATAGATGAGGAAAACTAGGATGCCGGGTGTATTCAAAGCGCCGCCATTACTGTCTAGAGTGCGTGGAGTGGTGCGCTGTGATTGGTTGTTACTGTTTATAGTGTGTGGAATGGGGCGCTGTGCTAAAAATGGACTTTTCAACACCGACAAGATACAATACTGATTTTGGCGGAAACTCAATTTTTTTTTTTAAATGGCGTTTAACGCGTTTTGGAACCAAACTCTTCATATATTTTAAGTCAAGTGCATATCAAATAGATGGAAACTGTAGTATTAAAAACACTTTACAATAAGATTCCATTTGTTAGATAACATGACCTATCAATAAACAATAGTTGTATAGCAATTATTCTTCTTAGGGTTCATTTCAAAATTTACTAATGCATAAAATCAGTTATCCAGCCAAGAATAACAACTAACCAACTAGCTATAAAAAAGCCCAGAACTGCTTTTCTGATGGACTGATATGACATAAACACTGTTAACCATTTGTACATTCTCTGACACGCATATTTTAGATTCACAATTCATTTAAAAGCTTCTGCTGTGTAAAAATAGTAAATACCATTATGTCCTCCTGTTTTTTTACACTAAAAGTTATAGGAGCATTAAATAGTTAATAAAGAAACTTCATTCTAATGCTCATTATTTTAGCATTAGTTGGCGATGTTTATTTCAATCCGACATTCAAATTAAAATATGGAATAATATTCATAACAGAAGATCGAAATATAAAAAATTTAATTGAAACTTACCTGCTTGAACACTTTCATTTGCTCTGGGCGTCGGTCTTTAAAGTGTTTTGTTAGTTTGATGTGTTTCCTCCTTTTGAGATCGCCATGTCTCAGTGCTTTTATGAAGAGAACGCATCTGCGCACCTTTCGGATAGCGCATCAAGAACCGGGTTGACCGGGTACTCGGTACCACCGAAGTACCGGGTCTTTTGACAACACTAGAGTGTTATATGGAGTCCAACTCACTAGGTATGTTTACATGCAATTAGTTTTGGAATGAATCCAATCCAGTTTCAGATTCTGAAAGTTCTGTTTATATGAACCCTAAACATTGCTGTCTGATTCACATATTTGTTTGCACATGCATTAAATGTATTCTGATATCTTCAGTACCCATTTGCTGCGTTCGGAACCAGAGAAGGCCGCTTTGATAATGTCACCGGAGCTATCATGAGTTCAGTTATTGTTTTTGCCACATCTAAGTGCCTGTTTACACCTGGAGACTTAATGTGTTTTTACTGATTGGACCGCTATCTGATGTGTTAAAATGGTTCCATTTACATGTGGCCACACAAAAATGTGTCTCTGCAAATCAAATATAAATCTGATCTTTAATTTGTGTGCTATATGCAAATTTAACCGAGTTCACATCAATGAAAGCAAAAGGTATTTTATTTTATTAATCATCAGCTAAGCTCAAGATCAAAGACCACAATAGGAGAGAGCAAAAAGAATGTCCTCTGAAAAAGAAAGCATTTTGGAAGGCATTTATTCCTGGTCTTTTCATGATCAGATAGCTGTCTGATCAGAAAAATGTGTGAAGTGACCAGGTGTAAACAGGCCCAGACATTCAGAAGAGCTTTTTAGCAAATATTTAGTTAGGCCTGGGCGATAAAACGGTATCGATATTTATCGACTGTACACCTTCATCGATAACGATATAAAAAATGTTCGATATAGCGCACGATATAGGCACGTACTATGAGTGATGCAGACAGCTCACACAAACACGAACACATGCTGAATTGAGTGCTGTGCCTGCCGGTGATGAGGAGATTGTGAATAAAAATATTAATATTAGTCGAATTTAAAATATTTGCATTTGAATGCAAAAATGGTACAATCGAATGTTTGTCATGTGCGTCAGGGAGCATCATCAGTAGTGCGCGAGATGCGGTGATGACGAGGTAAGTGACGTTGCATTTTAATGTTTTGTTAGTAGGGATGCACCGATACCCCTTTTTCCAGTACTCGCCCGATACCGATACTTTTATTTTTGGTACTTGCCGATACCGAGTACCGATACCTATATTTTATTGCATTTGTACATTTTTTTAAATATTGGGTACAGAAACCAAAAGAGTATGTATAATGTTAGTTGGTTAACTTCATTTATCAAATAGATACAGTCAAACCACCTTCACCTTCAACATTTCTCACATTATCACAGTTTATTCGCTATAGTTTAGAAAATGGTAATAAAATATAACAAGAACTCAGTTAAATTGAGTCAGAAAAATTCAGCTTGATAATGTTAGATAACTTTGATAGAAAGGTAATGGATTACAATCAACCAAAAATTAGACAGCTGTTAGTATGACAGTATTTACACAACTATCAATACTTTGTCGGGTGACCCTTAGCCATAATGACAGCATATAGTCTCCTGGGCATGCTGTCACCCAGCTTCATGCAAACCTGAACTTCATTTTTTTTCCCCCCAGACTCTGTCTGAATACTTTTTGGTCCCAAATTTGTATCTGTTTTACACTGGTAGTCCACTATATTAAGAAATTTTGGGTATAATTTGTCACAGTTTACTTTATTTTGCTATCCTCACTTACATAAATGAACTATAGTGTCCTGCACCCACTAGTAAAAAAATATCAAAAATTATATCTGGTCTCTGAATCATTTTTGGTTT